GCTCAGGCTGGTCTTGAACTCCTGAGCTCAAATGATCCACCCGCCTTGGCCTCCCAGAGTGCTAGGATTACAGGCGTGAGCCACCGCGCCCGGCCTTTTTCTCTGTTCTTGATATTGACATACTCCTAGCTGCCCAGGCCCAAATGCTCAGTTTATGGAGGAGTCACCATAAACTCCTCCTACTCCATCACTGTCACTTTCAATGAGAAGACAAGTATTTTCAAATCTACCCTATAATGTTTCTCAAAAGTGTCCCTCTTGTCCCCATTCCCACTGGCACTCCCCTTATTGCCTCTTGCATGGACTATTATCCAGGATGTTACCCATTCAAATCCATCTTACACTGTTGCCAGGATAATCTTCCTCAAGTACAGGACTTTTCTGAGTTTAAAGTGTTCTACGCTTGTTTGTCAAAAACCACACACATCATGTCCTCCTTGGACCCTTTACTAATCCCTACCAGCCGACTTATTTTCCTCCCACTAAGGATCCCTGCAACGGTGATATACCTCTGTAGCACTTTCCATATTTTGCTTTATATAAGAGTTATTTCTTGCATGTCTATTCTGTGACCCTTTATGTCTCTTTAGGCAGAGAACATCAATTGTATTTAATCTTCAAAAGTTTTTCATAGTGCCCAGTCTAGAACTTTTTCACATAGTAGGCACTCTATAAATGCCTGCTAAAATAAATTGAACCTACTTCCTCGTCCTCCTGTGATTCATTCAAGGGTCCATTTCGCGTCTCTTGGAAAAGGATTTTTTTCATTTTTCGGTACTGCAGGTTATCCAGCTCGCGGACAGCATCTTTTGTCCTCTGTATGAGGTCAATGAGGACACGTAGCGGCCGTTCTCGGCGAACAAAGTCATGCTGATAGAGGGAAGAAAAAAAACCCGATAATGAAGAATCATATGTTTAGGTGCAAGATATAGATATGAAAGTAAATAAAGAAGCATAAAACAGTTGTATGGACTTTGCAGAATAACAAAATAGGACGTTCATGTCATGTATGTTTCCATATTACATAAATTTCACACACTGAGATAACTATGCTTTTTTTTGTCTTCTTCAAGTCTCATTTTGTGGATGTTGTCCTTGAGTTTACATGAGATTTCTTTTTTAAAATTGTATTTATTTAAGATGTACAACATAATGTTCTGATATACATATACATAATGAAATGATTTCTATAGGCAAGCAAATTAACATATCCATCAACTCACATAGTTACTTTTTTGTGGCAAAAATCCCTAAAATCTTCCATCTTAGCAAATTTCCAGACTAAGATACAATATTGTCAACTATAGACCTCATGCTGGACATTAGATCGCTATACTTATTTACCCCACATAACTGAAACTCTGTGCCCTTTGACCTCCATCTCTCCATTTCCTACCCCTTACAACCACCTTTCTACTCTGTTTTTATGTATTCGAGTGGGTTCTTAGATTTCACATATAAGTGAGACCAGGCAGTATTTTTCTTTCTGTGTCTGGTTTATTTCACTTAGCATGTCTTCTAGGTGCATCCATGTTGTTGCAAATGGCAGGATCTCTTTCTCTATTAAGGCTGAATAATGTTTCATTATACATATATATCACAATTTCTTTATCCTTTCATCCATTGATGGACACTTACATTGTTTCTTTATCTTGGCTATTATGAATAATGCTACAATTAACATAAGGGCACAGATATTTTTATGAGGTGCTGACTTCCTTTCCTTCAGATATATACCCAGTAGTGGGACTGCTAGATCTTATGACAGTTCTATTTTTAATTATTTGAGGAACCTCTATACTGTTTTCCACAATGGTTGCACCAATCTGCATTCCCAGCAACAGTGTACAAGGGGTCTCTTTTCTCTACACTCTCACCAACACTTGTTATCTCTCATCTTTTTGATAATAACCACTGTTAATAGGTGTGAGGTGATACTACATTGTGGTTTTGATTTGCATTTCTCTGATGATTAGTGACATTGAGCATCTTTTCATATGAGAATTGTTGGGGTTACTTTATCATATAAGTAATAAAAAGCACCAGAACTTTAAATAGTAGCAGATATGCTTGTACTTTCAAACCTGAAACTATATGATAAACAAAAGCAATGCAGAAGGCTGGGTGCAGTGGCTAGTGCCTGTAATTGTGATACTAACACTGTGGGACGCCGAGGTGGGAGGTTAACTTGAGGTCAGGAGTTTTAGGCCAGCCTGAGCAAGAGTGAGACCCCATCTCTACAAAAAAATAGAAAAATTAGCTGAGTTTGGTGGCACACGCCTGTAGTCCCAGATACTCGGAAGGCTAAGGCAGGAGGATCGCTCAAGTCCAGGAGTCTGAAGTCGCAGTGAGCTGTGATGATGCCACTGCACTCTACCTGGGGTGACAGAGCAAGACCCTATCTCAAAA